AGCCCCGCGGTCCTGCCCGGCCCCGCTGCTCCGCCAGCGGCTCCCACCGGCACGGGCGGCCGCAGGGTCCAGCGCCCGTGTTTAGAAAGCGCTTCCCTGCTGCCGTCTGCAGAAATCGGTCCGATTTTTATTTTTTTTTTTTTTATTTTCCAATCTAACGCATTCTTGCCCCCAAGCCGCCGGAGGCACGGGCGCACGTTAAACGCCGGTCGGGGAGCAGGGGTCCGATTTACCTGGCGGGTGTCTGTCGCCGAGCGGCGGCGGCCCCGGAGATGCGCGGAAGGACCGGGCCAAGTTGGGCCGGCCCGAGCCCTGCGGCGGGGCYGGGACAGGGGCTGGGCCGGCGGCTCCCAACACCGACCGCACAGGGAGACACTGCCGCTGTGCCCCAGCCGCCCGGGCAGCGAGGGGAGTCCCCACCGACCGTCCTGGCAATCGCTTCCTAAAACTGAAGCCCCAGATAGGAGGAGGAGGAGGAGGATCCGCGGCGCAGGGCGGGGGGGGAGGGTGGGAGCGCTCCCGCAGCCCCGTGGCACATCGCCGGCTGGAGGCGGCGGGATGCTGCTGCGGGGCTGCGCTCCGCTCCGCCAGCTGCCTTAGGTGCGGGGGGCAGCGCAGCCCTCCGTGCCATCGTGATGGTGCATTTTCCTCCGACTCCGTCGCGGGGATGGTGGGATGCTGCCGCAGCCCGAGAAGACCTTGGCCGCTGCCTGCCGAGGCTGGGCAACACCTTCCCTCTCTCTCGTCTCCCTGCTTTCCCCGCAGTGCTCCATTCTTCCCCGCGTCACCTCGCCGGCCCTGTGCCCGCTCCAGACCCCACAGCCGTGACGGCGTTTTATTTCCCTAACGCCGCATCCGCGCGTGATTAGACACCGGCACCGGGGCGTGCGCTCGGCAACTTCAGCAGCGCCCGGGCGTGTGCGGTGYGTGTGAGGGAGGGTGGCACGGATGTGCCTGCCCGCGGGCGCGCTTGCCACCTGCGGCTCGGATGTGTCTGTGTCTGTGCCCGGCCCGCGCCCCGTCGGGGCCGGCGCATCCCCGCAGCCGGCGGGACGGCGCTCCCGGGGCAGGGGTGCTGCGGGGTGCTGAGGGGCGCTGAGGGGTGCTGAGGGGTGCTGAGGGATGCTGAGGGGTGCGGAGCGGTGCCCTCAGGCCCGGCCCTGCCCCGGGCGCTGCCGCGGGGAGCACTGGCACCGCCAGCCCCGCCCGCCGGGCCCCGCATTCCGCTCGGCCAATGGGGGCGGCGCGCTGGCGCACGTGACGCGGCGGGCCGGGACCTGCTGCTTCCCCCGCGCAGAGGGATGCGGGCGGCAG